TAATTAAAAAAAAAAAAAAAAAAAAAAAAAAGAAAGGTAGTCGGACTTCGAGGGTTGATTTGGAGTATTTTCAATCCTAACGCGAAGTACAGTGTGATGACTATTGTTTGGTCACTTCAAACCCGGAAAAGAACGCAAAAGAACGCAATTCTAGGTCCATTGCAGGGTCAATTCAGTAATTACAACTACAGTGGCGTAATTCTAGGTTTTCCACGCTCTCTTTCATATTCACATAAGCTCTCTAGTTCTCACTCGTCACATTTCTGTGGAGGAGCTGGGTGCAGCACCGTACCCCAGGTACTCAAAACCCTAGCCCCAGAACTTCATATACACGCACATATTACAAAATGTGTGTCTTCTCTTCTCTTGAAACTCTTCGCTGTTATATTTATTACTTAAATTTTCAATTTTCTGTTTCTTCTGCGATCTTTTCGGTTTGGATTTTTGAGGATTTTTTTAAATTTTTTTTTTTTTTGGTTCTCGATAAATCGATTTCTGTGAATATGTTTTTTGGCTAGGGTGTGACTTTAATATCTGAAATTTCAGTTTATTATTTTTTGAATAATCAATTTATCAAAATATAAATGTAAATATAGTTTTTCTTGAGATTTTAGTACAAGATCTTTCCCACAACAAGATCATTTTTTTTTTGTAGAAATTAAGGAATGAATGATGGTGAATTATTGTATGGGATTTATGAAGACATGCTGTTTGAGTTTTGGTCTGTGGTTGTTTTTTGGAAAAGCAAAAGGTTCTATTGCATATATATTTTCTGATTTTTTTGGTTTTGCTCATGAAATTTGGTAAATACTGTTGATGCAGCATCAGTTTGTGAAGTTGAAGTTTGAAGAAAATGGATAAGAAGAAGCCACTAGTGTTTTTTGATGTTTCCATTGATGGAGATCCTATTGAAAGGATGATTTTTGAGGTGCTATATATATATATATGATGTCTTTAATATTTCAATCAACTACATTTCCTTTATGATTCTGATATTTATAACTATGAACTTTTGCTATTATGATACAGCTTTTTACTGATGTTGCTCCGAAGACGGCAGAAAACTTTCGCGCACTTTGTACAGGTAACCTGCAGTTTCTTTTAGTTCACAAAATAGTAGATCTAAACTACCAAGGGAACTGAGGAATTGATTTGTTGGGATTCTCTCGTTGTATGTTACTATATAGCTATATCTTTTCACTCCTTGGTTTTTAAAATTCATATCATTACATTTTTGAGTTTCGTGTAACTCTTTGTTGAGTGCAAGACATAGACACGTCTATTGGGATTGCTTGGTTTAAACTATGTGCACAGTTGCACGGTTTATACTATGTGCAAATTTTCACGTTGTTTTTGGAATCTCCGCCACTTTGAACACATTTTGTTAGCTATTTTCTTCTATAAACTGTATTTCTCATATACTAATTCCTGAATGGATCTGTTCTCCATTTCTTCAGGAGAGAGAGGCGATAGTCCTGAAGCTAAAAGGCCTCTGCACTATAAAGGAACTTTCTTCCATCGTATCATCAAAGGATCTATGGCTCAGGTATGCTATTTACTTTTTATTTGCTTCATCTATTTTTTGACACTGAAGCTGGGCATGTTCATTTTATGTCCTGGTTCTGCTTGAATTAGAAGTGGTCTTTGTCTTTAGCAGCTATCCATGTTTATACTGTGTCAGGGCTGATGATCACGGCTGCTTGTGTAGTGATGTAGTTTTAATGTAGTATTTACTGAGTTGTCCATTCCAAAGACTCACTTTACGTTGGTGCACATAGTACTATCCCTTGTTTGGCTCAGATTTTAATCAGAGTCAAAGTCAAACAATCAATATTAACCACATCTTTCATGGGTCTTAGAACTTTTCAA